TATCTTTATGAGAGAAAATCAACATAACCCTTATGGCCCTTCATATACCATTAGTGATCTGGCAAATGCCCCCCTCCCCCAATATCAATTTGCAATGATGACCAGAAGCAGCTTGTTTTTACCTTGCAGAACCAAGAGACCACCTCTACCGTCTTCCCTTAGGGCTACCTTAACCTACTGTCTGTTACAATATAATCTGCAGAGACTGGGGTCATCCTGACATTTCAGTATATCACAGTGGTCCACTTCACTGATGAAATGCAGACTGGATCTGACACGAAGGTAGTAAACAGTACTTGAGATGCCTTAGTAAAATGCATGTGAGGTTGGAGAGTGAGAGGTAAACCCTGTAAAAATCCAGGGACTCATGTGGCTTGGTGAAGTTTCTGATGTGCTAATGGTCTGGAGCATGTTGCAATAGATCTTTCGAGCTGAAACCCAAGTGGCTGTATCCTCTATCACCTACCACTGCAACAGAGGCATGATGCTTGGTGGGCCTTTTGGCTTTTATAGGCAATATATACCATATTTGAGTGTATCACTCTAACCCATTTACCGTAACACTGACCGTTTTGGGTGGATTGGAAAAGGCTCTGTAGAAAATCCATGTGGTAGTGTTAGCTACTCTTGTCACTTGAAACTTAAGATCAGCAGATCCAACGACACATAATGTGGCAATCAGGATTCTGTGTGGAGCCTGGGGCAAATGCCAACAGGAGAATCAAAGCATATACCTCTAGGGTTTGGGAGCAAATCCACACCCTCTTTTGAAGCTAGCTGATTTCCCTTTTGAGAACCAGCTCCATGGGAGCTGTGTGATCCAGCAAGCCATTAACTGGACTGTGCACAGAAGCCATCAATCATCAAGGAGAAATGGCATACAAGGCAGAGAGATCAAGCAGGTCTAGAAAGCACAAGCAAGTGCACAAAGCAAGGGTCAACTCCTTGGACACTTACTCCTGTTACAAGGTTTCCTTTTCCTCAGTCTTTAACTTTGGCTACATGACCAGTTACTTATGACCAGCTGACTAACAAGAATTTTAGGTCTGGTTTATAGTTTATTTTTGCCCAATAGGCTGGTGCATTACCACCTCAATTGAGTACGTTTCTGAAATACCCTAAGGAGAATTCTGAGCAGTACAATTGGTTGTCTACTATTTCTGAACCGAGCACTGTCCATAAGTATGATCTAAACTCTAGTATCCCAGGGCAGTTACTAAGGGTTTGATGACTGTTCAGGACTTGGAAAGAACAGATTTATAAGACAAATGACAAGATCTGGGGTTGAAGTATATGGATGGACCTCTTAGAATAAGCAGAGAATTGAAGATTATTGTGCTCCAGTGAATGTTCACCAAAGGACACTGTACATCCGTAAGAATGTACTTTCTAGACACACAACTACAGGGGGACATAATTAACCATGAGCCCCAGCTGTTGTACTCTGAAATTCATCACCACACCTGGGCTGGTTCACACTTCCCTAGGCTGCTTCCAGCAAATGACTGAGAGTAGCAGGAATACTAAAGTATATATGGGTCTCTTATGACAGCTGACCTTGGCTTGAGGGCTTCTCAATGGCCTAGCTGAACCTACATAAAGACAGAGGAGGCTCTCAATAATTAGGACAAGATGTATCTATTAGCCTCTTTTTCCAGTCATCCTAATGACAGCTCAATGGGCCCAAGTACAAGAGTGGCCATGTTGGCAAGGTTGTTGGCTTATACACAGGATCAGCAACATGGACGTCCCCTCACCAAGACTGACCTACTGAGTGCCTGACCTGCCAACAGTAGAGACCAGAGACCAACAATGAGCCCTGATATGGGCACTTAGTGGCAGGTGTATTACATTAGATCTCTTCTATCATGGAAGTGACAGCAATTTACTCTCACTGGAAAGGACACATTATCTGGGTATGGCTTTGCCTTTGGTACTTCTGTTAGCCTTATTAACTGTCATGGAATAGCAAAGGAGTACGTGCTGACCTATCCACCCACTTCAGGTAGCTTTTGATGGCTTAGAAGAGTAGCTAAGATGTCAAAAGATTCATATGCTCAAGTCAGTTTTAGAGAAAAAGCCATTTATATGTTCTTTTTCCTACCAGTTTGTCAATGCCCCACCATTGTTCTGTCTGCCAATTTTGAGCCAGGAGAGGCACAGGGGGACATTTTTAATTTGAGCTACTAATCCTTTTTCTAGAGATGTTTAAGATCAGATATTTGGCAAAATCTATGATGCAGTTACATTTACTCTCAACCCATAATGTACAGAGAGTGACATCTGCTGGTCATAAAGACTACGTCTTCATCCTGATTCCTTTTGCAATTTTCCAATGACTTTAATTGTATAGTAAAAATAAAATTATCTCTTTCTTGGGAGAAAAAGAAACCAACACATGACTTATAAGTGCCAACACATGTATCATTGTGGGAGATTTTTTTTAATTAAAAAAAAATCCAAGTTTCTTCTCCATTTAGCAGACACTAGTTTCTTTAATTTGATCAGGAGGAAATAAAACTGTTGAATTCAAAAATTAATTAAAAGCTCTGCTATTCCCTTTAAAATATCCTTTTAGTTGGAGCACGTGGGTGGTTCAGTCAGTTAACTGTCCAACTCTTGATTTTGGTGCAGCTCACGATCTCGCGGTTCATGGTTTTGAGTCCTGCATCGGGCTCTGAGCTAATGGTGCAGAGCCTGCTTGAAATTCTCTCTGTACCGCTCACTCTTCTCTCTCTCAAAATAGATAAATAAACTTAAAAAAAAATCCTTTGGGTTTTTGTTTCAGAGCAGAAATTAATGAATTTAGTTGAAGACAGAATTCTAGTGGACTTAATGAAATACTGGCCACCAAAGGTCACTTGCTTCTGGCTTTGTGTTCTAGTCCTGCTTTTTTGTATTGCTAGTTTCCACGCTTCATTACATGCACTTGCTTCCATCCTTCTTCCTTCCTATCCTTAGATACACATACGTATGAAACTTTATACATTCTCTTCCAGATTTATTCCAATATTAGCTTTGGAAATTCTTCCCACTGCTCTTGATGTTAGATTATATTAGAAAAAAAATAGGATTGATATTATGCAACTACGTTTTTAGATGAAAAGCATATATGTATGTTTATTGATAAAAGTATTTTGATGGATAGCGATGAAGTCGAGTTTTGTGTAAAAAATACAAACTTCAATTTGAAGGTGGCACCTAAGTCAGATTCCATTCCCCTTCAGGACCTTTTCTCCCTATTTTTCACTATTACAAAAATGTTGTAACTACCTGCCTTATAAATAAAACTTTGCGAATATCCCCAATTCTTTCTAGGAGGTAAATTCCCAGAGGGAAAAAAATCCCCAAAGGGCAATGAATAATCAAGAAGGGAACTAAAATTAATACTACAATAATAAAACATTGGGAATAGGAGAGATGAACATTTTATAAATTCAATAATTACCTATTATCTAGAGGAGCTGATAAATTGGGGCGCCTGTATGGCTCAGTTGGTTAAATGTCTGACTCTTGATTTGGGCTCAGGTCATGATCTCAGGGTTTGTGAGATGGATCCCTGAGCACAGAGCCCGCTTGGGATTCTCTCTCTTCCTCTCTCTCTGCCCCTCTCCATTTGTGCTCTCTCTCTCTCTCTCAAAATAAATAAACTTAAAAAAGTTAAAGCTGATAAATCAAAACTGGCATATGTTGGGGCACCTGGCTGGCTCAGTTAGTGGAGCACACAACTCTTGGTCTCGGCGTTGTGAGTTTGAGCCTCATGTTAGAGTTTACTTAATAAAAAACAAAACAAAACAAAACACAAAACTGGCATATGTGTTTGTTATAAACACGTTACTAACACAGAAGGGTGGAACCACAAAAAATTAAAGCAGAGACGGTTACAGTAATTGGGCAGGCAAGGAACTGTGGCTTTTCATTATAAGACCCATTTTTTAGCATGCTACTTTGATAAGATAATAAAGTTTTGAAATAAAAATGTAAGTTTATTAAAATTAAAAAGCATATTTTACCAAATTATTATCCAGAAGTGTATTAACTTAAATTCCCATAGGGATTTTGTTGATGGCCCTGAATTACTACAGTGATTTCATGCCAATTTATTTATTATTTATATTCTGGTCTATTCAGAAGTTTTGAACTATGTTAGAACAATACACATAGCATGAGATGTAAAATAAGTGAGAAAACTGGGGTAAAGGAAAAATAAGATGAGGCCAGAGGTCCAAAGAATCCATCAGAACCATCTAGAAAGCTGGTTAAGAATGAAGGCCCTGAGCTTATCCCAGGCCTGCTAAATCAGAATCTCTAGGGTGAGGCTCTGGTATCTTCTTTTTAACAGCCTCAATGACTTGGGGTCCTGATACAATTTAAAAGAAGACAAAGAGTGACTAATAGGATATTAGGATATTTATTAATGTCATGATATTTAGAGCACGGGAGTTAGAGGAATGGACATTGTAAGACTAACTCCAAAGAAGACATTTAAAAGTAAATCTTATGTAAACTAGAATCATCCGTTCTCCCACTATAACATTTCATAATCCTCTTCTGATCCCATTAACCTCCCCATAACAACACTCACAGAGATGCAAGGCCTCAGTCTGTCATTTGGTCCTTCAACTTTTACTCTTAAGATGAAGAGGCATGTTCTGGGAAATCTTCTCTTTTCTCTGGCTCCATTCCTAGCCTAGTGTACCATTTAGCTGGATAGTCTAGTGCTTGTGAGTCTTTATGTATCACATCATCAGGTTAAACACACACTTAGAATTAGAAGAATTCTATGTATCAACTAGGTGGTGGTACTTAGTCTTTACTGCTGCTTGTGTTTTTATTCTCAGAACAGTTTCACATGCCTCACGTGAAAGTGAAAAGTTAAACAAGCCGAACTTTTCCATGGGATTTGGTATACCATAAATAGAAAAGAATCAGCATTGCAGTTTAATTTTACAATGAAATTAAGAATATATTAAAAATTATACATTAAAAAATGTATCATCTTATAGTGACTTCTGTTGTAGCTGTAGCTTTTGTTCAATGATGTCTGAGAAACGAGGAACTTTTTTTGAAATAGCCACACGGATGTCATCATTCATATTAAAGCAGCTTCTGGACTTTGTTTTAAAATGTAAAAGTGATGAAAATCCCAACTCACAAAGGTATGTGGTTGCAAATGGTACAAGGATTTGTAGAGCTGTCTTTGCCAGGCTTGGAAACACTGTGAATTGAGCACACCAGAAATCCTCAAGCTTCATGGTCTCAAATTCCATGAGGATTTGGCCACTAGCTCGTAATTCAGCAAGATCATTTTTCATCAGATAACCATCATCAACAAAATCAAGATTAAAAAGAAATGGATCCAGTATCCATTTACTTGCCTCATCAAGATCTCCAACAGAAAAATATCCATGGAAGAAGCTGTTCAACTGTTGCAGATGCAGGGTTATTTCTGCTCCAATGCTGGCTGCTTCATTATCTGAAACAATTATTTCTTCAAGAAAAGGAAAGTTGGTAAAATTTCTTTTCTCAATTCGCTTTAGCCAAAATGGAAACTTCCTAACAAAAGCAGATAACTTTTCTCTAGCTGATACTGTGTTCATCCCAGTCCTTTGCATAGATGCACTAAGTTCATTTAGGTGTTTGAATAAATCTGCAAGGTATGCTAAGTGAACTTTAAACTCTTTATTTTCAAAGCCATCAACTAAATTACTACTTTGGTGGTGAAGGAACTGATTTATTTCTTCATACATTTCAAAAATATGAGTAAGTATTTGACCTCGGGAAAGCCACCTCATTTCAGTATGGAAAAGGAGGACACTATACTCTATTCCAATTTCTTCAAAAAAAGCCTGAAAGAGGCGATGATTTGGAGCTCGTCCTTTGATGAAATTTATTACCCTCACCACAGTAAACAGAGCATCTCTCAGTTTTGTAGGCAAGGTCTTTGTGACAAGTTCATGGGGATTCAACAAGCAATGTGTGATCATGATATGAGGTACCTCTTTTTTCACACAAGCAACAAATTCTGAATTTTCTCCTAGCATAGAAGAGGCACCATCAGTACAAACAGAGCCGCATACATCAAGTGCTATCTTATGCTTCAAAAAGAAGTCTCTGAAGAGATTGAACGCATCTTTTCCTTTCATTGTTAACTGCAATGGTTCACAGAAGAGAAATTCTTCTACGATCTCTCTTTCTTTTATGTATCGTACAAACGCCATTAGCTGACTGCAGTCATCCATGTCAGTTGTCTCAGCAAGTTGAACACCCACTTTGAGAGGACTGGCTTTGATGTCTTCTAGAACTTGCTGTAAGATATCCTGGCTCATTTCATCAATTCTAGAATGGATCACATCGTCTGATAAAGGTACCTGCTGAAGCTTCTTTTGTGCATCTGGTCCCAAAACTATTTGTGCTATTTCCAATGCACATGGTTTCACTAATTTTTCAGCTATTGTATGAGGATTCTTCTCCTTGGCACATAAATACGCAAACTGATATGATGCTTGTAATAAGGCATCCTCATGAGACGCAACTCCAAATGCTTTCAAGGTTTCTCTCTGATCCGATGGTGCTGGCATATGCTTCAGGCTATTGAGATCATGCCCACCTACACCACCATGCTGTCTGTTAAAATGGTCAGACAATTTCGATGGTCTGAGGTCAGCATTTGAAAATATCGAGTTACACAATACACATTGTGGGCGTTGAGTTCCATCAACCTCCGTTGTACAGGTGAACCAGTAACGAACATAGTCATCATCCCATTTTCGCTTCTTCGACATGGCACCCCAAAATTCTCAGGTAGTATTCCAGAGATGCTGCAGAATTTTGCTTTGGGAGTAAAATATAACCCACACATTAAAAATCAGTGGCTAACTGAATTAAAACAAAGCCACATCACATGCCATCCTGTCATGTGTACAATGTCAAGAAATATCCTATAACATGTCCATTCAAAGTGAACCATGACAGCATGGCAGTCCAACTTAAATCTATCAACTCACAGCTAATACCCTGGAATAAATGACTTGCCAGCAAGCTACGTATGGGAGATGTGGACTCACGTAATTTGTCAATACTCCTAAATCCTCTATTGGTGAACTGCAGTTATGGCTTAATTTGTTCTCAATGATGTATGTTCCAAACAAAGTTGCTACATTTTGTATTCCATGAAATGGCATTTCACTACCACCCCCTCCTTTCATTCTACACCAAGGACATACGACACCAGCAGTTATGAATAAGGATATAGAGAAGGGAATCATTCACTAAGCGCTGTAAGGGCATATTTTGACACAGTGACTAGTTCTTTTTCGTAGTTAAGGATTAGACAAGTCTGTAAAACTATTTGATGTTTGAGTGGCTTTGACTCCAACTTAAGCAGAGAATTTCAAATGGGTCTGATTAAGCAGCCTTTGACACAGATTTGGCTCAGAGCTTCCTTGCTTCCAAAGTGTAACACACTACCAGTCCATGATTCATATTGTCCATGCACAAAAGGAAAACAAGTTGCTCAAGAGAAACACAACTATTCTTGTTACTGAGACTTCAGAAAAATGTCTCATAGAAGGACACCCTTTTTACAATAGGAATTTCATGATGCTTTTTCATAGAACTACCCATCAGTAAAAGCAGTCAAGAAAGAAGCTGAAACAATGGAATGAAAATAAGCAGTATTCCCAAGATTAAGATTTGTTTCAATCTGAGGACAAGAACCAGAAAGTAGTGGTTCCTCCTTAGTAAATGGAGGAATCAGCAAAGTTTTTTGTTAACATTCAAATTCGTGGCCCCACCCCCAGAGATTCTGATTTCCTAGCTCTACAGTAGGGGCCCAAAATCTGTATTCTACATAAACATTTTAGATAATTTTACAAATAGTAACTAGAACAGTAATCTTTAACATTTTTTTTAACGCTTATTTATTTTTGAGACAGAGAGAGACAGAGCATGAACGGGGGAGGGGCAGAGAGAGAGGGAGGCACAGAATCAGAAGCAGGCTCCAGGCTCTGAGCCATCAGCCCAGAGCCCAACGCGGGGCTCGAACTCGCGGACCGCGAGATCGTGACCTGAGCTGAAGTCGGACGCTTAACCGACTGAGCCACCCAGGCGCCCCTAGAACAGTAATCTTTAATAAGAGATACTCATCATAATCACTGGGAACTCCTTTGAAATTATGTAACTCCCTGCATATCTTAGAACTAATAAATCAGCTTCTTCAGAAGGACAAAAGACTCTAAATCTTGGGGCACCTGGCTGGCTCAGTTGGTACAGTATGTGATTCTTGATCTCAGGGTTGTGAGTTTGAGCCCCATGTTGGCCATAAAGATTACTTAAAAAAGAAAAGACTGTAAATCTTGTCCTGGTGATGCGAATACATATCATAGTAAATAGTCATATTTAGAGGAATAAAGACATATCCTTTGGGCCAACCCCTACCTTGCAGATATTCTAGGTTGCTACGTAAAGTCTAAATGCTTTAATAGGCATTTAAGTTTCTGAGTTGATGACAGCCTCCTAAGAAAGTCAAAGGACCTAAAAAGAAAGAAAGCCAGGCCTTTTCTCTTTTTCTCCCTCCTTAGCAATGAGCAAAGGTATAATCCACAGATAGGCTCAAATATACCTTAGAAAAATAGTTCTGGGACATGTGGGTGGCTCAGTGGGTTGAGCATCCAACTCTTGATTTCAGCTCAGGTCATGATCCTAGGGGTGTGCAATCAAGCCCTGCATTGGACTCTGAACTGAGCATGGAGCCTGCTTAGGATTCTCTCTCTCTCTCTCTCTCTCTCTCTCTCTCTCCCCCTCTCCCTCTGCCCCCACTTGTGGGTTCTATCAATAAAGTAATAAAATAAATATATAAAAAAGAAAATAGTTTTATCTCCCAGATAAACAAGTGACCCTCTAAGTGTCCAAAGTCCTACACTACAGAATGTCGCTGCAATAACTTAACAGGGACACATTTAAATCCAAATGCCCATTTTGGCCATAAAAAAACCTCACAATAAGTAAGCCAAGAATATTAACTTAAAACACTTTCTAGTGGCTGTGCCACAATTAACTAGCTTTAAAATGTACTTCTATGTAAACTAATAAGTTGACATGCCATATAGCTGTCTGTTGAGTCAATTAAAAATCAGAAGATGTCTGCCACTCAATACAGACGATTTGAAGTTTAAAGGTTGATCTTAAGCTTTCTTTTGTCAAGTGATGAAGACTAGAGGGACAACTCTGTTTAGAAACTCTCCTAATTGATAATAAAATTATGACACCAGCATAAAAATGCTTATCTTTCTATATTCTCTTATGTATATTTGCTATGTGTGTTTTGGGGAACAGAGGAAGTGAATGGAAAAGCTTTGCTTCAGTCTCATTAGAAATTATTACAGGACCAGTTAAGGGTCTATTCCAATCCACCCTGACTATGCTACCAAGTATGTTTTGACTGACAATGTACCTGTTTTGAACAAAAGAATTTTTAGAGAAATTCATTTGCAGCATGCCTCCTATCCCCCTCAAAAAGGGAGAATGGGTAGCAGGAATTTTCAAGATCCTTAAAGATTAATTTACCGCTCAAGAGGCTTTCTTGCATTTTAGAACCTCACAATTTTCATTTGCTCCTCTGTGGTATTTAGTAATCACAATATCCTAAAATATGTAAACGTTAAAAAGGCATCATCATGGTAAGAAATTATTGTTCATTTAAATAGATGTGATAATGGTATGCTTGTGTGAAAAAAAAAAAACACCTCATTTATTGGAGATACAGACTTACTGGTTTACAAATGAAAAGACATCTGGGATCTCCTTTGAAATACCCTACTTCAGCGCGCGCGCGCGCACACACACACACACACACACACACACACACACACACAGAGTGGGGTGGAGACAGAAGGCATAAAATTGGCCTTGAGTTGGTAACTGTTGGAGTTGAATGATGGGTTCGTATCACTACACTATTCTATTTTTATGTTATGTGGGGAATTTTCCATAACAGTAAACAAAAAGAGCATTATCTTATTCAAATAGACATACTTCGTTTTTAGAATGATTCTTTTGAGAGTTTGGGAGTTATCTCAAGATGCTGAGTGAAAGATGTGATATAACAAAAATGTTTTTGCAAGTTCATCAGGCACAAGGGTATATATGAAAAGGTATCACAACAGTTAAAAGTGAACATTCATATAACAGAAATCTTTGGGAAATGCTAAAATATATATTTCAGCAGTGACAACAACCCAAGTGCAACAGTAAACCTGTAACTCCAAACCAAACGTGACTCAACTTCTCTCTAGCCATCGCCCATGCCAGTCCAAGGGAGGTGGGGGTGTCCGGGGGACGGGATTCATCAGTACACTTTGCAGTTAAAGGCAACAGCCCGGAGAAAGGGGGCGGAAATATAGTAGCTGAGCAAACACGCTCCAGAGGCAAAAGCCTAGGATCCTGGCTTTGTCACCTGGAGGCTGGGTCCCTTCCAAGCCTCGATTCCTCAAGTGGGGATGACAATAGTACCTACCTTACAGGGTTGTTGGGAGCTTTAATGATTAAGCGTGCATGTAAAGCACACGCAGCTCGTAACTGGTAGGACCTGTTGGTGCATTATTAAGGACGGCGCGCTTGGGAAGCGGCCCGGGCGAGCTACGGACGCCGGCGGCGAGAAAAGAAGACTCCGCTCGGTCTCCACCCGCCCGTCTCCGAGCCTGGGCGCAGGCCCAAGGGATGCTCGGGCTTCTTTTAGGCGCCCGTCTCCGGCTCCAGGTCGCTCTCCGCTAGGGCTGGGATCCAGCCTGTGGGCGCCGGAACCGGGCAGGGCGGCGACTCCTCTGGTCCGGTCCCCGACCAGGAAGCTACGAGGCGCGATGAGACAGAAGCGTCCGCAGCGACCTCCACCCCTGCCGCGCCAGGGTTCCATCCGGGTTCTCCTTGTGGGTTCCCGCCTGCAGACAGAGCGAGGTGTCTCTCTGCACGCAGGCGCGTTGAGCCACCGGCGGAGGGCTCGGCTGACCTGAGTAGGGAGCATGCGCGTGGCCCTCTCTCTTTTTTTTTAAATTGTGTACGCGGGGCGGGGGGCGGGGGGGGGGGGGGGGTGCTGGTGGGATTTTTTGTGTCTGCCAGAGAGGATGAATGTAGAATCTAAGGAATGGAAAGTATGGTAAAGTCCACATAGTTCTTCAGAGCATTAAAATAAGATTTTGTGTGCGTCAAGCTTTGGGTTTGGATTGTAACATTCAATAAATTAGCATTTTCTATGTGTGAGCAAGGGGGAAAGGGAAGGAAACTCCTTGTACCCCATGTTAAACATTCGGACAAATGCGAGGCTGTAAATTCCATTAAGATACTCACAGTGGAGATGAACTTCTAGAGCTTGCGTCTTGTTTGCCCATGAAGGTCACCCCTTCCCGTAATTTAGAGCATGTGGATGAATTTCCTCAGAAAAATTCAATTTGGAGAAAAGATCTTCAATTTTATTTAAAATTCGTTTTAACATGATATTAAAGTTATGAACCCATATTAGATTTTTAGAGGAAAAATTCCAAAGTAGAAACTAGAAAACTGCAGAAAGACCTCCTTCCTATTTGGGGGATATTTCCTTCCAGAATTGTGACAAACTTAAAGAACAATTTAATAATCTTTCTATAGTCAGTCTTGTTAGAAGCATCCCATTAAGACTGGGGAAAGGGATAGTATCAGAGAATGTGAGATAGATGCATCATTTTCAGGTGTTCAGGGTGAACCTGGTAGACTGAAGCCTGCTTGAGGTTTCTGTCAACAGAAGAAGTTGCAAAAGACCAGTCTTTCTGGTCCAGAAAGCAGGGCTTTAAGTACTAGAGAAAGGAGTAGGCTTTAGAGTCAATAGATACTTGGCTTTATGTCCTGGCCCTAACACTTTTACTTATCAGGACCTGAGCAAGCTACCTGGACTAATTAAGCCCTTGTGCTTATTATAAAATAGATTATCCATTTGTCCATGAAGTTCTTTTGCAGAGATAATATACAAAAATTACAGTACATAGTTCCAACACTCAACAGGCAGCTATTAGGGAAATAAAATCAAAGTTCACATAATGAATCATGTTCCAGGTGTTATCTTTTTTCCAAAATGAAGAAATAAGACGTGAGTTCAGATATTATAGAATTCTTCCTAAAATCAGTAAATTAGGTTTCATGGAAGAGGGAACAGAGACCCAGAAAAGTCAGGTGACACATTTTTTGACTTAAAAAGATCCTGAAATTTTTTAATTCAAAATTAAAGAAGCTATGGGGCGCCTGGGTGGCGCAGTCGGTTAAGCGTCCGACTTCAGCCAGGTCACGATCTCGCGGTCTGTGAGTTCGAGCCCCGCGTCAGGCTCTGGGCTGATGGCTCAGAGCCTGGAGCCTGTTTCCGATTCTGTGTCTCCCTCTCTGTCTGCCCCTCCCTCGTTCATGCTCTGTCTCTCTCCATCCCAAAAATAAATAAACGTTGAAAAAAAAATTAACTCAAAATTAAAGAAGCTAAGCCCCCTGACAGTCCCATAAACTGCTTTTCTGTTAAATATTTGAAATAATGCTACAAACCACTCAGTTTTCTAATTATGTATCTTTATTACCAAAAGATAAATAAAATACAAAATAGACATTGTCACTTTATGGAGCCACCCCATGGTAAGGTAGGAATATGAACACATGTCATTGACTTTCTTGAAATAGGTTAAGAATTACCTCCATTTGCATTGCTTTTTTAATTGCACAGTAGTCTGAATCTACACACTATATTCATAGTACTTGACAATTCGATTGTTACTATTTCTGAGATGGTAACTTAAAGCTGTATCCTAATCAGTTTTGGTGAGCTGTTAAAAAGCCAATGTACTTCTATCAGGGGTTTGAAACAGGCTGTTTTCATTGAGCCCACTCTGTCAGTATTATTTTCATGATGGTCTTAGAAGAGGCCTGAGGATCATGGCGGTCTCAGTTATTAATAGCCCTACAAGCTATCCTTCTAATTCTTTGAAGAAACTTTCAACTTCAGGTTTTGCTTTTTGCAAATTTTACAGACACCTGCTTACTATAGATATTAGGTATAATGGATATTCTACAATCTTTTAAAATTTAATATTCATTATTTTTACATAAAGGCAATCACAATTAAAGCAACAAATAGTATCACAAACTGTATTTTCTATGATAGAGGAAAGGATTTCTGTGTTTAAAGGCTCAAGTCCAGAATGATAAAAGACCATCACAACACTGGCTCAAAGATGACAAAATATTATTTTTCTGTTATTCTGGATGTAAGGTACAAGGAAATATTTTAAAAATAAAAATTTTATAACCAAGTAGAAAACAGAATTATTACTATACAGATTGACATGGGAGATAAAGTTACTCATATGTTCTACAGGTTTCCTTTCAGTAACCCAAAACCCAAGATAGAATAATTTTTTTAGTTTCAGACCAGGGAAACCTTAGAAGGCAAAAACAAAGGATTCTCAAATAACTATAATCATAGTTACTAATAATTTGAAAAAATGAAACCCTGATTTTGAGAAAGAGTAACTAATCTGCCTTCAAAATGCATGTTAACTAGATAAAGGGCCATATGAATTGTGGAGATACAGTTTAAGCCTTAATAATGTTGAGTAGAAGACATTCTTGCTAGGTAAAGAGCCAAGGCCTCTTTCCACATCACCTAATATAAAATTGGAAAAAAAATCTTAACATACACTTAATGAATTGCTCTTTGTTTTTCTTATTTCTTCGGTGTACAAAGAAATGAATTTCAAAAGGACTTCTGGAAGCTTTATTAAAGTCAGGCAGCAAAAAGAGTAGTCAAGGGGTTTTCCACCTACAATTATCAGCAAGAAGCTGAAAAGAATGTATCTATGTGTCTATCTTGGGTGACTGTCTATAACTAGCTACTACTGTCCAAGGAAGGAGGCCATGGGGTCATCCGGCCTCTGACGTTTCATTCTATAGGCCTCCATTTCCTCTTCAGTGGGTTCCCAAGTTTCATATATGCTATTGTAAGGCCGCTTCCTCTCATCAATCTGCATAATCTCCTTGACGTGAAGAAGGCGGGCTTCCTCTGCATTCAGGGCCTTTTTCAATTTTTCATGTTTCTTTTCTTCATCATCACTATCTGAACTGCTCTTTCGATGCTTCTTCTTCTTCTTCTTTTTCTTCTTTTTATCTTCTTTTAGTTTTTCCTGATGCATCTGATAGGGAGGATTGAAATATAGGGTTATTAATGCAAAAACAAAGTTCTGGTGCAAATTTTGAAGTCTGCCCTCCAGCACTTAAAATTTTTGGACACATGGGGTGCTGGGTGGCTCAGTCAGTTAAGTGTCTGACTTCAGCTCAGATCATGATCTCAAGGTTCGTGAGTTTGAGCCCTGAATTGGGATCTCTGCTGATAGCACAAAGCCTGTTTCGGATCCTCTGTTCCCCTCTCTCCCTCTCCCTCTCCCCATGCATGCGCACATTCTCTCAAAAATAAATAAACATTAAAAAAAAATTCAGGACAAATGATTATAGACTTACCTCCATGAGCGTTTGAGGTTTTTTTACAGATTCTTCTCCAGTTATATCATTTATAATACATTCCTCTGAATTAGCAATCTCCTTCCCAGCTTCTCCCGTGCAATAGGAATACTTGAAAAAGGAGTGACAGCATTTGTATCCCCATCGGCCATCTTTCCAGTAAGATCCCCAGATATGCTGCAGAGAGAGAGTTGTTACTTAAAAAGGAACCTGAAACTAGGGACTCTCATACACTGTTGATATGAGCATAAAATAATACAGTCCTTTAAAAGGTTAACTTGGGAGGAAACTTATGGGGATTCCAGGGCTAGCTAATAGGGACAAGGTGGCCTGCTCTCAAGTGTGACAAGCAGGCATTAAATTATAATGGTCTTACATTTTATTCCTAAAACTTTAAAAAAAAATTAGGATATCTGACTTCTCTTTAAAAATTAAGAAGGACTGGGAAATTCTGGGCCCACATTCCTACTTGGCAAGGACTGGCTGTTGCTGACCAGTGGATGCCCCTTTCAGACAGGGTTTGTGTTCTCTAGTTTGTATAATTTGCCTAAGTCACTTCACTCATATGATTTAGCAGCCTGGCTCCTATAGGTAGTTCTGTTTTTGATCCAACTTAGACAATTATAGTTTGGGTACACGTGTTTTATAATGTGATGCAGTATGAATTACACTGTATCACTTATGTTCTTGTTAAAATATTTAACTTTAGTCAAGTCTTTAGATCTGAATTTGTTTATAGGAAATACAGAGGATAGAGGAATAACTCGTATGATATCATACAAGTAATTGAACCAGTCAAAATAGAATGTGAGTTTACAAAATAACTGTCCTGATCTGTTTAGGAGTCACTGTCCTGAAAAAGGGGAGTTTCGATAGAGGGAGATAGAGAAAAAGAGACATAACAACCAGAATAAACTTTGATTGGATTCTGACTCAAAACAAAAACAAAAGCAAAAACAAACCACCTATTTAAAGGCATTTTTGTGTATATTTTGGTAATGTGATTAAGAATTACAGATTAGAGGATATTAAGGAGTCCATGATAATTTTCTAAAGTGTGATAATGTAGGGGAATATCCTTAATTTTAGGAAATACATGATATAGTGTCTATCAGTGAAATATCATAATATCTGTAATTTTCAAGTATTTTAGTAAAAAAAAAAAGATACAAAATATATATGTGGGTATATGTATATACCAGCATGCATATACCCCTCCCTCTGTCCAGACAGAACATATATGGCAACATGCAAAATATTTCTGAATCTAGGCGGTGGGTATGTGGGTGAACATAATAGTATTCTAAAGTTTTTGTATTTTTAGAAAAATTTCATAAAATAAAATTAAAATGTAAAAAAAAAAAAAAAAA